GCCCGAAGAGGCCGCTCATGGCGCCCGGGCCGTGGGCCAGCGCTGGCTCTGTCGGCTGGATATTTTTATTAAAAAAGTGAGAACACTAGAGCTCGGAGAAGTGATTTGTCTAAACGCCATACAGCGGAGCCGGGTTCGAATCCAGTTACTGTTTAATGCTACAACCACTTGTAACCATCTTGCTACATCATCTCTCTAAATGTCCTATTTAGATAAACATGAGCAGCACTCCTTCCCACAGAAAAAAACAATAAACTGTAACCACCGCCGCTGGCTCACTAAAATGGCGGCTCCCTCCCGGGCGCTGGCTCTCTTACGTCATCACCCTGCGCGACAGCATCTCGCGCCCCGAGTGCGAGCGGAAGCAGGCGGGCCGAGGGAGGGGCCCAGGTCGGGAGTTGTACCTTGTTCTTCCGGGGCGCAAGATGGCGCTGCCCTTTGCACGTTCGCCTTGCCTCTGCCGCTGGGCAGCCAAACGATTGGGGGCTGCTGCCGCAGGAGCCCGCAGAGGTAGGGTTACCTCCTTTTACTCTCTTTTACCTCAAAACGGTTTCCGTCTCTTACTCCCAGAGCTTGTCCACGCCTCACCTGCGTTGGTGTTGCGATTCCAAACCTAGGACACTGTCTGGGTTCTTGAAAACCTAGGGCTTTGCCAGCCCGAGCTTTTTGGCTCCGGGGGCTGCCTATGTAAAGCACCCCGCTCCCTGGCCCGCTCGGCATGCTGACTTCCCTGCCTCTCCGTGACCTCATGCCGGCCTGCTTCAGAGCGTCTCTGTGTCTCTAGCTCTAGTTCCAGGGTGGGAGCCCCTGCCATCACCCAGTGTCTTTGCTCTGCCCGCAGGCGTCAGTTTCAAACTGGAAGAGAAAACCGCCCACAGCAGCCTGGCACTCTTCAAAGGGGACACAGGTGTCAAATACGGCATGGTGGGGTTGGAGCCCACCCAGCTGGCCCTGAATGCGGAGCGCTTCCGGGAGTGGGCGGTGGTGCTGGCGGACACCGCGGTCACCAGTGGCAGACACTACTGGGAGGTGACGGTGAAGCGCTCCCAGCAGTTCCGGGTCGGGGTGGCCGATGTGGACATTTCTCGGGACAGCTGCATCGGAGTGGATGTCCGTTCCTGGGTGTTCACCTATGCCCAGCGCAAGTGGCACACCATGTTGGCCAACGAGAAAGCCCCTATTGAGGGCATCGGGCATCCAGAGAAGGTGGGGCTGCTGCTGGAGTACGAGGCCCAGAAGCTGAGCTTGGTGGATGTGAGCCGGGTTGCTGTGGTCCACATGCTACAGACAGATTTCCAGGGTCCAGTGGTACCTGCCTTTGCCCTTTGGGATGGAGAATTGCTGACCCATTCAGGGCTTGAGGTGCCCAAGGGCCTCTAGTACATCCATCACTGGAGTTCCTCCTAATCACACGCTTGGCCAGCGTCCTCCTGAGAGTGTCTGAAGCCTTTTAACGTTGCCTCAAGCAACCTCTAGCTCCCACAGTTCAGGTCCTCTGTGCAGCGTCTTAGTCATTTCCCTCTCCCCTACCTGCGGAAGCTAGGCTACTGCCAGTTTTCCTAGGCTACCATGAGTGTCTTTTCCTGGACTCGCTTCCTTGGGTCCCTCCGTCTTCCTGTGCCCAGGCCCTTCTCAGACTGTATTCAGTCCTGGGGTCTTACCTTTCAGCTTTGTTTGGATGTATTCATCACTATGGTACCTTTCTCTCCCTTTACCCATGTTAACTTCTGTTTGTTCTTGGTGTTCTACTGAGTCTCTCCACAGGGAATCCTTCCTACCTCTGGCTGGAGGAGTGGTTCAGTGACTTGGCCCTTTCTCTAAAGCACATACGGAGTCTGGGCTCTGGCTCCTTCGGGAAATGCTTTACTGTCTGTCAGAGTGAGAACAGAGACCTCCTTCCTCAGTACCTCAAAGCTGGACTCTCAGCCTCACACAGCTGCAGCTATCCTCACCATGAGTCCATCTGCCTTAACCTGCATACCTCCGACACCTGGACAATCCCTTGTACTCACGGGCCAGTTACAACCACTACCAAAGGGAAAGAGACACTTGGGGGATATCAAGGGCATTCATGCTGGAAACTTTATTCTTGAGAAGTTCTAGCTTCATTTCTGCTACAGTTGGAACTTCCAGAGGGAGGAGAGAGACCCGAGGGCTTGCACATTTTTGGGGCCTGCTCAGATCCAAACCCTTACCCTCCCACCACAACCTAGGCAGAATACACTTAACCTAAAGCAGTATTAGGGGTTGAGGAAAACCTGGTGGGATGAGCATCTATGTGAAATACAGTATTTCTGTTTGACCCTGTGGCTCCATCTTATTCTGTCTTTATGATGGTGATGCAACTGAATACCTCCATGGGAGAAAGAGGACTGGGTTTAGCAAAAATAATAATTTGTGTAATTAAAGTTTATTTAAGCACAAAATACTTTCTCTGTCTATAAAATTTCTGTTTCCTTGCCAAGGGGGACAGATCTCTCCAGACAACTAAAACCAGGTGCATAGCTCTATATAGACATGTGCATGGTGGCTAGAGCCCCTTCACCCAAGTGTCTCTTTCTCTCTCATGATGGTTTCTTCAGGGAGAGGAAGAGGGGACCTGGGTGAAGACCTGGAAAGATTTTGAGTGGGCTAGGCAATTAGGCTATACCTTGAAGAAGCCCACAGTCTCCGTGGATAGCTCTACTGCAGGTATCCACCTAGGCACTTCTCTATGCTCTGCCAAGGGAAATGGGGTATTTTGCCTCTCACAGAAAGCACTGGCCTATCTTGGTCTGCACTGAAGGAGTGCAGCTCTCCATAGCATGTTTGGTGGTTATGGGTTAAATGTCTGGCCAGTTCGTGCTTTTTCTTGAGCAGGGACCATGTGTGCTCCATGCTCACACCATGCTCTCTAAGTTCTCTTTAGACAGAGCCTCAGCTGCTACTTCAGCCTGGTTCTCATATGGTGTGTAGGAGTCCTGGTAATCTTGAAGCAGTTTCACTACCTCCAGGTGATTGAACTGCACAGCATCGTCCAGGGGAATGTTGCCCCACCTGAGAGGAACAAAGAAGACAGAGAGAGTGCCCTGGTTCTATACATAACAGTGGTGGCTACCCACACCCCCTTTTAGCTTAATCCTACTCACCTGTCCTTGACAAAAGGATTCACTTTGCAAGCCTCAATCAGAAATTTAACAACTTCTATGTGTCCTAGGAATATGGGCAGAAGGAAAATGAGAGGGTACAGATCCTGAACCTTTTGGTGACAACAATGGTGCAGACCCTTGGCAGCTGGAGTTCTGAACCAATAAAGGAGGGGAAAAGGCCTCTTCCCATTTTGTTCCCTGCAGTACCCAGTAACAGCCTGCAAACTGAAGGGTGTCTGGACAAAACAACCCTGAGGGCACACCCAATTGGGTGGGGGGTACTCTTGGTGGAAAAGGGTCTTCTGATCTACTTATTTAACCTCTTATTTAACCTTCAGATACCTTCAGCTGCAGCAACATGCAGGGCTGTGCGGGAGTCATAGTCTTTCTGTTCCATGTCCATGGCTGACAAGGCAAACCTGAGGGTAGTGGAAAGCAGCTGGAGTAACCCGTATCAGCTTAGAATCACTCATGTCCTTTCTGAAGTGGGGTCAGACTGGATAGGTCCTAGAGCTTATGCCAAAATCGCAGGCCTCGCACAATGTGTTCCCTACCCAGATGAGACTGTTACTCCCACGTCAGAGAAATGGGAGTGTGATGGTTCCAGAAACATCACTGCTTATCTGTGGTAGCTACCCAGTACATATTTGCCGATGTTGTAATCCACTGAAGGCAGGGTCCTCACCTACCACCTCTGCTCTTAACACCCAGGTTAATCCTAGCAGTGGCTACCATTAATTAAGGTCTTATCACATAGTAGGCACTGTACTTTGAAAAAATTTTCATTTAAGTGCACTGTGTGTCCATTGTATCTGACTCTAAAGCTGAAGCACTTAACTATTTTGCTATGATAACTCCTTATGAGATCTCTGACCAGGAGTATTTTATTGTGTTTATTTGGTCACAGAGGTACCTTCGAAGAGCTGAGACATCTCCACTATAGGCAGCAAATAACAGGTTTACCACAGTCTTGTTCTGGAAAACAGATCATACCCACTTGAGATTAACTGTGACTTTGAGCCCACCCATGCCCAGCTCCGCCCCATGACGCTCCTCCCTGGATGCTTAGCCAAGGGTATTCTGAAATATACTTAGACGCCACCTGGGGTTTTCCTTACCCTTACTTCTCCCCCTTCACGCCGCGGGTCTAACTTTCGAGCACAGTGTCTCAGGTTGTCATAGTTGTGGAAATTGAAGAGAGACACCAACTTCTAAAATTGTAAGCCAGAGAGATTATTTACTTACTCCTTGCTCTTAGTAGGAGCTAAAAATGGCTTTAGTTACTCATTCAAGAATATTGGGTATTATGTGCAAAGTAACTTACCTGGCAGAAACTGATGCCCCTGTGGCTGTTCCCCAGCTTGTCCAGTGGAGGTGAGAGACACATCATTCCCATGACATTGGGTACCACCAGGAGGATGGCTCCTGACACAGCTGACTTGGCTGGCAGGCCCACCTTGGGGACAAAATTGAAACTGAGGATGAGCTAGAGGTGTCCCAAGTCTGGGTTAATAGTTTATCCCAAATGACTATGTGGGCAAGGCCACACCCACCTCAACCTTTTGGCTTGTTAATTAGCTTTTCCTACTCCTGTCCTTCCCTACCCCCCTTTAAATTCATGGCTTCAGTAAGGAAATATTTATTGGGTATCTACTCCGTGACTGATGCTAGAACTAGGACAAAACCTCTCATTCTGATGATAGGAGATAGACAGTAAATAGGTAGACAAATAGACAAAAATAATCACAGCTTATGATAACACAGAAGAAAAGAAGTAGGAAGATGTGACAGAGAAGTGGGAGGGGCACCACCTGAGGCTAAAAGTGGTCAGAAAAGCCTCTTTCTGGAGGTGACATCTAACCTGAAGTCTAGAGAAGCACCAGCCATGTGAAGGGCCACAGAAGATTGGTCACAACATGTGTTTGTGTTTGAGGGACTTTGTGTTTGGCAAGCCCCTAAGGATTCTCAGCCTAATTGCCTGGCTGGAAGTTAGTGAATGGGAGGCAGGTACAAGCTTCCACCTCTCCACCTTCAGAGACTCAGTGTCCTCTCTGCCTGGCTACGGGCTTGTGGCACACGGATGGAAGGGCCAGAAGCACTTACGTGGAAGGCAAACTGGCCTGAGAAGTCATACATGCCGCAGGAGTGCATGAGGCTGAGGGTGTTGCGCACTGCTTCAGCGCTCAGCACGCTCTCTCCTGTGATGGGGCAGATCCCACCATTGGCCAGGGTGGCTGCCATGACACTGCCTGATTCACAGGTTACCTCCACGGAGCACAGCTAAGGAGACAAGGCAGAGGTGAGGGTGTGGTGTGGACCTGAACACTCTTGGTTGCAGAGCAACGTTCTTGGCATCCTGATCTTTCTACAAGTTCCCTGGTGTTTCCGGAGGAGCATCCCTTTGGGTCAGAGCAAGAAGTACAGCCTGTCCTGTTCCCTTGACCCTGAGTTGAGCGGCAGTGTTTACCTGGAAGTAGAGATCCAGGGCAGCCATCATGTCCACCCCCTTAGGGAAGCACTGCAAGGAAGAAGAGGGGAGGGGAGAGCATCTCTCTTCAGGCCATCAGTAGTCTTTTCACACGGCCAGGATCTCGGCCCAAGTCCCCAGCCCGAACTGCCCTTCCACCAGCCACAGAATTCCCAGGGACTTGCTCTCCCAGCCTCTCCCAATTACCTTCTTTTCCTTTAGATAATAGCCGATGGCATAATTCCGATCCCCCGTTTCCTTCTCTGACTGGAATCTGAAGCAAACACCCAATTTAGTACTTGATGTTTGAGGGGTGGGTGTGAGGAGAAGGGGAAAAAATACCTTCCCTGAGAGAGACAGAACTACATTGCACATGTTAAATTAAATCAACCCCTTTATAAATTCTCAGTAATACTGCCAAACTCCTGGACCCCAGCAAGCACCGGGCAGAGCTTTATTATAAAGTGTAAAAAACAAAACACCCCAAATTGTTTAGTCATCTAGTCTAGACAAACATGGCTTTGAGAGGCTTGGCAAGAAATCCTTACATCACCTCGCTCATTAAGTACTAAATAGAAATAGAGCAAGTTCTTTTATAAGGTAAATAAATGCCAATGAAGGGGCTCAGAGGAAGCTGGGAGGCCAAAGTTCCCTTGGGATTTCTTCCTCCTATGGTTCTATTCTCATATATTCTCTCATATTCTCTCTCTCTCTCTCTCTCTCTCTCTCTTACACACACACACACACACACACACACACACACACACAATGTATTCAGCCAATCCTGTGAACAAGGTCTTACGTGGCATTGCTGAAACCCACGAATTCATTTCCAGCCATTTTGTTCAGATATTGCAATACCTAGAAGAGAAAAAGAGGCATGGGAGGCACCACATGAGTGAGGACCCTACTAACTCTCTGAACTCCTCAGTCTTTTTCCCAGCAAGAACTTCAGGTGCCTTTCTTCTCTGAGGCCAGCAGATCCCCACAGTTCTGGAAATAAGGCTTCTAGTATGGGCTGGTGCACTACCAAAGGGTTAGAGCCAGGCACTGGGGCAGCTGGAGAGGACAACATGCCACGGAGAAAAGCAGCCAGGGGCTGAGTAGCAAGGAAACTTACAAAATCAAACTTCTCTGCTTTGTTACAGTCCATCTGCAGAGAGAGAGAGAGATATCAGTGTTCCAAACCTAGGAAGATGACAGGAGGATCAGAAGGACCCAGTTAAAGTGTTAGACTAGTTTGCTTCTGAAGAGAGAGAGATATCAGTGTTCCAAACCTAGGAAGGTGACAGAGGAGGGTCGGAAGGACCCAGTTAAAGTGTTAGACTAGTTTGCTTCTGGGAATGTGTTAATTTTACAATCACCTTTTTTTTCTTTTTTATTAAAAACACACACCAATAAACAGCTAAGACTTTTTAGTATCCATGTATATTTAGTGACCTTAAAAACAAAATCGCTAAGATTTTATTATCAAGTAATGAATACAAATAACCTCACCCCGTCTACGAGCCTCACTCCCACTTCCATTCTCAGTTCTGCCCCTCATCACAGACTCCCATTTTCATTTTCCTGGTTCCAATCCTGCCCCCAAACTCAACCCCTATTCCTGATCCCATCCCCATTCCTTACACCCCACGCTGGATCCTCACTCTATCCTTTCCCGGACTCCCATAGCCATCTCCAAGACTGGAGTGACAGGAATGGGATGAGGGTGTGTGTTGCATATATTATAATATTCAAGTTTATCAATTATGTTGATAATTGAAATAAAGCTAAAGATTTTAGCTGAAAATCAAGTCCAATAGGGTCTGCTTAGATGGGAATAGAATGA